ATGATGATGATGATGATGATAGTGATGAAAAACAAAACAGTGAGAATGACAGTGATGAAGACAAAGCCAGCGCAGACGGCGATAATGGCAGCAGTGAAAATTTGTCACATAATCGAGTAGTTTTAGGTGAGGATTCTGAAAGTGACGATGACGATGAAGACAAGCATGCAGAGGAAAGTCGTAAAAGTCATAACAGGCACGGGCACGGAAAAGAACATGGCGACAATGAGAGAGAAGATGCAGGGTACGATACAGAGGATCACGACAGTACTAGCCATGAAGAAGATAACAAACCTGCTTTTCACAACAGGCATAAACAGGAAAGACATTGGGAATCAAAACACAAACATTTCGTGTCCCATGAACAATCTAATACTGATGATGACAATGATGATGACCAAAATAATTTCAAAAACAGTAGGAGGAATTTCAGAAAATCGTTTATATATCACAGGAAAAGGAAGAAACAAAGGAGATTTAGACAACATAATGAAAACGAGAGGGGTAGGGAAGAGGAATTTAACAAAGATAATCAAGACGAGGAATTTTATGTTCATAAGAAACATCCGGACAACATTTCTAAACATCGTCATTATCATCACAGACCTCGCGATGGAAATGACAATGAGAACACGGAAACGTATGACGACCGTTATGAACCAAAAGAAACACACGGCGAGGACTCCTTTAGACATGACGAAGGAGGTTATGAAAGCAACCACGAACACAACGAAGAAAAAATGCGTGACTATGAGAGACAACGAGAGGAATCAGAAAAGTTCCAGAAGCCAAATGTTGAATTTGAGGAACACAATGACAAACGCTTTCATCACGAAAAAGAGCGTCACCACGGTGGTTACATTTCTCGTGAGAGAGATCACGATGAACGGAAATTTAAGGAAGATCTACACGACAGGAATTTCCCAGACGTTCCTCATCGACACGAGCAAGATGCTTACAAAGATAGATTTAGAGAAGGTGAGAGGCCAGCTGATGATGATGAAGATCACCGTGCATACTATATCGAGGGCCGCAAATATGAGCCCAGGCATAGGAAAAAGGGAGATCGGAAGCATCGCCACTTTCACGCGGTCGAAGAGCAGGACCTTGAAGGAACTGGAGGTTCATTTGATTCATCAGCGTGGATGCACGGCGAAAATTCAGAGGATGATCATTATTATGGTGGCGAAGGCAACCAGGAATACCACAGAAAGAAGCACCGCAAGCATAAGCATCGTAAACACAGGCAAAGCTATGAATACTGGGCTTACAGAGAACAAAATCCATACTACTACAGTTACAACTACCACAAGTCTCGACCTCGATATGGATATTATAAACCGCAGCCCACTGTTCGTCCTCCCCCTAGGTGGCATAAATACCACTATGGAGGTTACGGCAGATGGAAGCCAAAGCCTACTAGCTTCTACCCAAATAAGGAACATTGGGATAGGAAACCATCTTGGAGATCATTTGAGGAGAATAAGCCAACAGACGGATACCAGTGGCACACGTTTTACAGTGACCGTGGTGGCACAAATCAACCCAAACCCACTCCTTACCCTATGGCACCTTCTCATGCCTGGCTTCCCACAAATCCAAGATGGCAACAACCCGATCAATCACAGCGAGGATTTGGAGGTGGCACTTGGTCTCCTGGCCACGGTCAGGCTCCAGAAAAACAATACAAAGACTGGAGTAAACAAGGGCCATCAGCCCCATTAAATCAGGGTGCAGGCAATTACCGGCCTCAGCAAAATTCGGCTGGATTGCAGCCGTCGAGAAGTCTCGGCTCTTCCATGCCAGCCCGCCAGCAACAACCACAAGGCGTACAACCAAAGTACGTTCTTCCTACTCAATCCAATACAAATGGGGTAGTTAGCCAGACAAGGTTTCGTCCTACGGTCCGCAGGCAATATCAAGCCCCACTGCCTTCGCAAGTCTCAAGCCCCACAAATATCAGCCAAATTAAGAGTATTATGGATAAGTTGAACACGCCGCCTTCGGCTGTAGGTGATCTGCAGGCTGGCGGTGCTCCAACTGTCAATCCAGTTCCAGCACAGAACAATGCTAATAACAAAAGTGGACTCCTTAGGATGAACTTAACGTCCGATGATCAACTACAAAATAGGAATCGTCTGAATGGATTTTTTAATGAAGAAAATGGAGGAAAGAAGAAATCTGAGATCATAAGGCCAACGAATGTCAGTCATGGTCTACAAGCTGCAGGAAATTCATCTTCATCAGGTAAAAATTAGATGTACTTTTGGTTTGCTTTATAAAGTTTCTAGATTCCTTAAAAATAGTCGATCAAGTACAGAGAAAAATAGCTGGGTAGAACCTGTAATGGGACAGGGAAGGAATAGGTGGTTATTTTAATCAGGATTTTACGTCTGTTTCGTGGTCGAGGTGTTTGAACTGAGGGAGTTGGTAAGGAATTACCAAGTTCACAACATGGCGCTAATTTGGTGTATCGTGTTTACGATGACCTTGCACTTTCATCTGTTTGAATGTTTATTATCAAAGCATTAGCCGGTCATGACTTTCTCGCACACACGATAAATACTTGTGATTAACTGGGCAAAATATCAAAGAATGGGAAATCAAATTTTCTACACAATGACCACACCTTCACCTCAGTTAGAGGGCAGTGTTTTCTCAGTGTACTATTTTATTTGTATGTTTGTTTGTTTCGCTTTGTATCTCAACTCCTCCACATATTCGAGTTAATGAACATTCATATTGGAGGAAGATTTTCATTAAAAGAATATGTACTTTTATGTATTTCAAGTTGCATGCATTTTTGTTGCACGCTCTTCCTTTGGCCATGTCTTATTAGTGATATGCTGTGATCACTTTCATTCCTTCTCATGCAGCAAACACTTCACACCACGTCCAACAAAATCCACCCAGTATCACCAGCACGCCAGCTAAACCTCTGCACTCCACCCAAGTAGCAAATAAGACAACTGTAAGAAACACCACCCCTACACAGACAACAAGCAGCCACACCAGCAAGCCGACTGAACCTGCGCAGAACAGCTCCACAACAGCCACGCCCACACATACGACTACCGTTGAGCAGACCCCTCCAGGACCGAACTTTGGAGACGTCTCTCAATCCGATGATTCTTCAGGTATAGAAGTGAAATAGTCAGAGTTATATCTTATAATAGTTAGCTAAAAGTAAAACCGTAGCTTGTTTAACATTTGTTTGGTATGAAATTCTTAACCATGATAATGACAGGCCATTCATTTCTCCTTAATAATTCAAACATGAAGGTAACGCGAGAATTAGTGAACTGATGAAAATAAATAACTCAAGCTAGGAATTCTCCTAAAATGTGCATTAGATGTAAACGCACATGAGTATGGAGAAATCCTATTTGCCATAGAATTACTAGATACCAAGGTTATTCACATAAAGATAATTCGAAATTGATTGATGTCAGACCATCTTTTTTAAAAAATCTACAATTCTCAAACAAAAACACGTTCTGCATTCACTCATCAGAAACAGGAAAGAAGCATCGCAAGCACCGAGCACCTGTCTGCATCGCAGGAAAAACCACAGATGACGTCACTCTGCTGCGAGGAAAAAGAGCAGGAAACTTCACCAACATTGGTGACGTGGGCGACTTCGAGATGTGTATCAAACGGTGCTGCCAGCACCAGAAATGCGACCTGGCCTTCAAATCCGCAGAAACTTGCTTTCTTGTCAATTGTTTCAGTAAAGAATCGTGCCAGACCTCCCCCTCTCTTGACGACATATTTAGTCCGCGGATGTGCTTTGTGACAAGGCATTTGAAAGACGACGAGAAAGGTAACCAAGCGTTACATTAATAAGGTTTCAACATATTTCACGGATTGACATCATTGTTGACTTATTTGTTTTCAAGACACTCCAGGTCAAGACAGAGATGATGAATGGAACGACAAAGTCTCCCCTTCAGGTAATATAAAGACAGAAATAAGAAATAACCACCACCTACATATAAAAAAATAAGAGTCATTCTTCCCAAAAACTAAAGGCTGGAACGGGCTTAATGGATAGGCGAACGAGAATTCCACATTCTGCATGTTAACCCTAATTTTAAATGGCCATTTTTCCACTTATATGACAAAACTTTGAACGAACATGTTTCAACCTGTCATTTTCTCATGCAGGAATTCGTGAAGTTTGTGACGTCGAAAAAGCACTTGGTTTATTGTGGAAGAAAACGATCGCAGGACGATACTCTGCTCATCCGTGCCCTCGTGGTGCTAAAGGTAAGTGAGATACCGCTGAACTAGGTCTAAAGATGATCACTGCTGGCCCACTGCAATCACGATGAAGTAATTTATCAAAAACAAAAATGCCAAAAATGCAGAACAGGACACGCTTGTTTGTTTGTTACCTTTACAATTTAACGATAAGTTTGATATACAGCGATCAATCAATAAGTATAAGTCACAAATTTTAAAGGTATCTGGGTTTATAAAAACATCCTTCGCTAATGGTTTCGACATAACTGGATCAACTGAATATAACGGTAATAAACAACTAGCTTTTTATAGTATACTCAGTGTAATCACCTCCCATCTTAACCAATCAGGTTTTGTCAAGCGACGCTGCGAAGCTGACTCAAGATGGCTGCCACCGGATTTTAGTGAATGTATTTCCAAAGATTATCAAACACTCTTCGACAAGGTGAAGCAACGTTCAGAAAAAAATCGGTTTGTACCACTCAGAGAGATATTAGTGCGCTCGTCCCGGATTGAGCAGTCCAAGTTCGAGCCCTGGAAAGGGACATTGCATTGTGTTTTTGGGCAGGACCTCTCTCCACCCAGGTGTACAAATGGGAGCTTAATGCTGGGGGTAACTCTGCGATGGACTAGCATCCCATCCAGGGGGGAGTAGAAATACTCCTAGTCGTTTCATGCTACAGAATCTGCGATAAGCTCCGACCTGAAGGACCACTTGGCTGTTATGCAGACTTTACTTTTTACCACTCACAGATAGACAATGACTTTCATAGCAAACACCCATCAACGGGCAAAGAATTTGAACCCAAATTGTTTCTTGCACATTGTTACACGTCTCTGACCGATTACAATGGAAAGAAAACTAGTCAAATTAGCTATTCCAGGAAAATAGACTTCGTATCAAATAACCCATAGTTTGAAGTCACTTGACTATTCCCATTTGTTACAATCTAGTTTGGATCACTATAGTTGTTTCGTCACGTGAGGAGTTGAGTGACGACAGGCGCACGTTTAGATCAATTTAGCGATCTCTAAGGATTTTAACCTTTATGCCAACTAAAATAACTCCAGTCATGTTGAATTTAAGGTGCTCAGTTACGCGGTATTTTGAGTTATTTTGACCGCGTACAAATTCACCATTAAATTGAAGTAAACCTGAAAATAGTACTTTACTTAGAGAGAAAAACACCAAAGAGATAAGAATAAACCCTAAAAGAACAAGGATGGTTAAGGATAGAGAAGAGTATAACGGATTACAGACGACGAACTTGAAAAAATAGGCTACACTTTTGAAGATGGGCAGAACGCAACGTAGCTCCTTTAAAAATAAATAATCATGGCATCATTTTCTTCCATCCACAGTCGAAAAAGCTTGCCACTGGAGCCGATCCCAGCCCTCTCATCCGGGAACTCTCACAACTGACAACTCAGAACATTGACAACTCATTGATCTTTGGAGGGGACCTAGATCGAGCTACAGACATCATGGCGGCCATAGTTCAACATAACGGACAAACAGAGCTTCTGGACATGACCAGAGAAGATGTAGAGGTACACAGGGACAGTGTAAAGCTCTTGGCTTTAATTATATCATCACTGAATCGGGTGGGGGAGGGAGGGGGGGGGGNTAGTGAATGTCACGTCAAGGGCCCCTCATGTAAGCCTGGGGGGGAGTATTCCCTCATATGGGCTATATAGGTATGTGCTGCCCCAAAGGGTATGGTTGTCAGAAAGAGGGTATCGATTTTGGCCATTTTAGTCTCAAATGGGGTATAGCCTTTTCACTCTGGTCTTGAATTGTTAGAAGCTACTTTTTCATCATCATCGATAAGACCATCAACGAAAGCCCTTAACAATGCCTTAAACATCGTTCTGAACTAGGGAACTAATTATAGGGAAGGTCTAAAAGAGGGTATTGAGTCAGGTCTTAAATATACAGGGTATTGAATTTTTGGTCAGGTCACAAATCGGTGGGGAAAATCGCAGAATTTGGTCTTAAAATAGGGTAAAGGTTCTGGGAAGCGAGCCACACACCCCCACCCAAATTTTCTGGGAGTACCCCCCCCCCGGCATTGAATACTATCTGATTATTACAAAGTGCGCCAGAGTGCAACACGTAAACGAGGAAGAATTATCACTCCTTAGTAACAGAGATTATAAAGTTTGTTTCTGCCTGTCTCCACATGTACAAAACGAAGACTTTCGAAAAAAGAAAAAGCAGGTTGCCTCATTTCAATCAATTTTAATATTGCGTTTGTTTTTTAAACAGAATTTTGTACGAGCGAGCAGCAATCTTTTGGACATGACCAATCAACAAGAGTGGTCCAACATTCAAAAGGTAAAACAGAAACGAACGAACGTTCGAATTTCTTCGTGAACAACTGCTTTCTATTTCTCACTTTTCTTTAAATTTTCTTTTCCTTAACTTTTCTCGCCGATGAAATAGGCAGGGTTAAAATTAAGACCTTAACATCCCAGGCAAATCGTTTGAATAAAAAACGTAAATTCCCCAAAACAATCAAAGAAATTGTGTAAAAACGGAAAAGATAATTCTGATACCGATCTTGTTAATTTTTCAGAATAAACCGGGAACAGCAGACGTCCTTCGTTCAATGGAGATGTTCGCGCTTCAAGCAGCTATGCGCCTTCCTCGTGAGGACATGGCGGAACCGCTCATTACTAACAATATAAGTGAGTCTTGTTTTTTTTGTTTTATTATTATTATATTTTTTTTGTTGCCACTAATAAACGGAACTTGATTGAAATGATCACTTCGTCTCATAGTCATTAAGATGGACCGGAAGTCTCCTGGAGATGGCGGTTTGACCTTCCCAGACTTTTCCAACTCAAAGATAAGCCGTTGGGACGCGAGACATGACGTCATTGCGCTGCCATCGTCCGTCTTTGACCGAGGTAAGTAAACAAAATACGACTTATGAAGCTGCAATTGGGTTTGCGAACGTTGAAAAAGTTGACCTAAATTTTTCGTGCTCTAATTCGGTGGTTATTGGTCTTGGGTTGCGAAAGAGGGCTTTTTAACGTGAAGTTTGGAGTGTCTACTTTTGCGGATGGTAGGTTACTCTTAAAATTTTAGAGTATATTTGATTTGTTGATATCTTTTCAGGAGAAGTTAGCACGGCCAGCATCAGCTTCAAAAGTTTACCATATTTACTCCCGGATTCAAATGTGAGGTGAGCCGACATCACATCAAAATAAATCGATTATTGGCTTCAGATATGGTTCAAGAACTGTCTTGTTTTACATTTTAATTTAATATACTCCCGAACTTTTTTCCACAGTACCGGTCTGGGACCAAATTCCAAAGTGATATCCACGGTGTTACACCCCCACCCTCAGGAAAAGATTACCCCACCCGTGACAGTAGTCCTGAGTCATATCAAGGTGAGTACCATACTAAGTCAATCTGGTTGAATTGGAATAAATGATGATTTAGTATGGTCAGTATGGGGCTACTATATTTCATAGGTGTTGTACACATTTTTCAATCAACTAGGGCACAAAGGATGCCTATATAACCCGTCTCTTTTTTCTATTTTCTTCTCACAGCGAAGAAGAGGAAATCCCAAATGCGTTTTTTGGGACTATACATTAAAGTAAGTAGCAACGGTTCATCTGTTGACGCTTGCGCCATTTTTTTACAATGGGCAAAAATGACGCCTTACTTGAATGGCTTTTCAACAGATAAAGTATATTAGAGAAAATGACAGAACACTTACAACGCGTCTTAGGGATTAATCAACCCCCTCCCTCAAATATGGAACTTACCATCTCTAATGCGACTCTGTTGTATTGTTTTCTTAACCAGTCCCCATAGAGGAGGTGCGTGGTCATCACGTGGTTGTTGGTTAGCTTTTAGTAACCATTCCCACTCGATCTGTCAATGCAGTCATCTGTCAAACTTTGCAGTTCTGATGGATCTTTCATCTGACGAGGTAAGAGGTTCAAAGCTTAACTTTACAATCATTATGAAAGTTCTTGGGAATATTCCATCTGTGAGACCTGAGATCATAGCACTGTGTTTTTTGTTTTGTAAACCAGGGATTAAATGTGTAGGACAGTTATGATGGAACAAATTATTACGTTATTAGTAATATTGGGTAATCGTGCAGTAAGGGATTTAGGGAGCGTTCGTTTGGGATGATTTGGATCAGAACCAGTGACCCAAGATCACTCAGATCATGGTGCATCAAAGGAAATGATGAATCTGTGAATAGAGTGATCGTGGATCCCTGATCCAGATCCAGATTACCCCAAAGGAACGCATTCTTACACTACGAAAATTATCTCAATATTTGAAAAGAATTTTTAAATATCACGAGTAGTGTAAATCCTTAATTGCTTTCATACGATTACTCATTTATAATATGACTGAGTAACTTAAGAAAGCGCGCGCGTTAATGTGCACTGCAGTGTAAATTGAAAATCAACTTTGAATTGGCCTGCTCTCAGCCAATCACAATAAAGTAATTTTCTTAGTCATAAAAGTTATTACTTAAAAATTATTATTAATAGTTAATTTGCCTTTAAACATCCTAATTTGTCTGATGTATTTCAGTAATAAATCAGCTGCCAATGTTCCCTTTCTGTTTGCAGGTTTCACAGAAAGAGCAGAAGAGGGAACGGACCATGGCCCTGATGTGGATTGGGATCCCTGTGCTGATCGTAGGAGTGATTGGTGGCCTGTATATGTCATTCAGCTGGTAAGATTGCCAAGCGACTAAGGTGTGACAGAAAGTTACTTTGATACACATTTCCATTCCCAGATACTCAGCTTAATCATCACAGTGTATTATACCACGGTTATTTTCTTAGTTATTTTCATTTGTTTTCCCTTGTATCTCGTTATCTCCTGCTTCCACTTTACTTGAATTTGAGAAATTTGGCATCCACGCATACCTACATGTATGTTTTGCCTTTTTACGAATCACAGGAATCGAAAATCAGGAATGCCAAGCACCGTAACAAGGCCTTCCGCAGCACGTAAGTGCCCCTTTCTACAGATATTTTATCGCTTTTTTAATAACAAATTATATAGTTTGGGTTTCTTCAAATTAAACCTTCCTATTTAGGACTGTTTTCATTTGTAAAGTTCTAGCTATAGAAAATACTTTTAAAGCGCAAATTGCATAATTTCAATACCAGACTGGCCATTTGAAATGATACCAAAATATTTTCTTTGTTCTGTTTGAGCTTAATTTTCATATGCCTAAAATTATTTTACATATGCCTAAAACGTTTGAAGCGTCTATTTCGTATCATGATCAGGGAAGGTTCGGACTGAATCAATATTTGATCTCAAGTAAACGTTTAACCACATCATTCATTACATTACGATAATGTTGCGCTGGTTGTGTCAGCCTTATGGAAACAAGATCATGGTGGAAAATTGAGGAAACTATGGCATCGGAGCGGAAAACGAAATGTTAAACCAATCAACTCAGAAAATAAAAAAAGAAACGTAATAAATTTCTCTAAGCCTTGGGTTGTATTCATGTCTCTTTTATATTTATTTTTCAGTAAACGAAAAAACTGGTTTACTCGGACAGAGAGTGGTGACAAGTCAGATCCGTGAGGAATTCCCAGCCTCGCCAACACGTGACCTCTACCGCGCACTGTCTCCTGGGTATTCACCAACTGGTGATCTTGAATGGCAGGACGAGTTTGATTTTGAGATGGAGTATGGTGACCAGGGATTTAAGCAGATGCTTCTTCCTAAGTTACAGATGCTGCAGAAACAACTGATCAACGAATTTTATGATGGCGACAACATGGAGACGAAAAAAAGGAAGATACTAGAGAGCAAGGTGGGAAAATCAATTTAAATTAATGGAAAGAATTACCAAGAGATGTAGTGGAAGCTGACACCTTTCAGCAGTTTAAATCTAAGCTCAAATTGCGGTTAAATATTTAATTCTAATTGAGGATCTTAATTATAATTTTGATTTTAACATGCTTTGAGGGGAGTTTTCACATCGGGACAACCTCTTAACTTCCTTTCCTAGATGCGTCTTTCTTTATCTTTTTTTTTTGTTTCTTATTTTAAGTTTTTAATTATAAATCTAGTTTGCCTCTTGAATAAATAAAGTATGTAAATTGTTTAGAAATCAAAACAATTGGAATTATTGGGAAAATTGATTAATAACTCTCGGGCTAAAATTCGTCTGCTTTTTAAGTGTTGTTGACTGAATTCTTTCTTATTTCATGACCAGTTGAAGCAAAAGTCACAGATTACCGCCCAAAGCCCAGTTCAGAGCGATGCAGTTGAATCAGTCCATAGGCAAGCGGTTAGTATACTTATATCTCAATAATTATTACTTTCAGGTGTTTTCTTGTAAGACTGTTAATGTCTAGTTGTATCTTTCTATAGCGTATTTCCAATACTTTAGATCTTTAGATCGTTAAATCATTTTATCAGAGCTACCAAGATGCCACTTACAAGAACGTATACTTTAAATTTATAACTTAACATTAGGCTCCGAATCCCGCGTTCAGAAATGGAAAGTTGTAAAGAGCATATAGCATTGAGTCCCCTCATAATGCCAATTTGATGTAAATGCTTACAATTATTCACCATTTAGGTAATCATGAGTCATGTTGCTTTGTACACAGATCCAGCATAAGCCACAGATCCCAGTCCAAAGTCCAATCCAGTCCGATGTAGTTGAGTCATTTCACAAACAAACGGTAACAATCACGGTGAAATTTCAGATATTTCCTCCCTTAAGTTCGTGAACAAAATGATCCAAGACTCATAAAGTCAACACAGTATTGTAATTGTTTGAGTCGTTGACCATTCGATCAGTCTAACCGATACTCATACCACAAGTCAATTGTCCTTTTAGGCTACCCCGTTGGAAATTGATCTTACGATAGCCAAAATTACACTCCCCAACCACTCCTCTTAGGTGGCTAATTTGTCATTCCGATGACCACAAGCTCTTTCGCTAATCGTCGGAAAAACGACCTCGGTATTTCTAGTAACAAAAGGGTTATTATTTTAGGTTTTATCACCAAAATGGGGCCGCTACAGTAGACCATTTCTTGTTATGGATTCAGCTGATAGTGAATCCTCAGTTAAAAAACCTTTGGTTAGAATTTTCAAACGCCATATGTATAGCTCATTTTAGTTTTGGTCCATTATACTTCAATCTGTAATCCTTCTAATCGATCTACATGCTAACACTGTGCCAACAGATCCAAGCAAATCCACAGACCACGGCCGACAGTCCTGTTCAGTGTGAAACAGTTCGAACTGTAAATAGACAAACGGTAAGATTTTCTGTATTTGAGGCCCAGTTTACACTACGCGGGAGAAATTTGAAAACGGAGGTTTCACTCTGAAAAGGCATCAAATCGTGCTATTCAGAATTGATATTTTTGTAGCTCTATCAGAAACTGAATCGCTTATGGTAATGAACAAGTAATGTAAACAAGGATTATTTTCAGTTGTTCACATATTTTTTAATTGGCGTTATGCCATTATTTGGACCTTTTACTATTTTGAACAGACCATTATAGATCAACTAATATAACCTTTCTAACCGTTTCTCACACAGAACCAAGCAAAGTCACAGACAGCACCTGAGAGACCACTAAGACAAATGGTAAGGATTTTCCAAAACATTTAGCTTACTGGTGTTTTTCCTTATACAAATTTACTATAATCTTATACATTCATTTGCACTAAAACTCATCTTATTACATGGCTAGCTTAGTGAGCGAGCAAGATGAACCGAATCCTCCACTGTGATTGGCTACCCGAGCGGGCAAGATGGCGCTATCTTGCTCACTCGGGATTACCCGTCGTGTCTCGCAAGAAAATAGTTTTTCCATATAAATCTTTTAGTGACCAAGCTTGTTCGGTCGAGATGGCTGGATATTGGCCTCGTTCTTTTTTGTGTTTTTATGGACCTATAATTATGTAAATTATACTGTTGAATTAACCCATGTTTAGTTGATAACAGAATTAATTAACCTTACAAATTCCTTCATAACTGCACTACAGCAAAGTAACCGGGTGAAAAGTTTAAAGAAAACCACTAAAATAATCAGTTTGATTCGTAGAAGACTTATTCAGGCAGAAAACTTCGAGTGAGGTTCGCGGATGAAAAGCCTCCTGGACGAAATCTCACGGATGAAGATAAAGAGCGCTTTAAACGGCTTCAAAGAATGGAGAGAAGGTATAGTTGAGAGGACTTTTCTGAAAGAAATACGCTCTTCGACATTTGAGCCCGTGGGGGGGGGGGNCTTTCATATATAGAAAGGCCAGGGGTGCTCGTCGTATCAGTTTTGGGGTTCATGAAGATTATTTTTTCTTATTCGTACTTTTCTTATTTTGCAGAGTGTTTTTTCAGCATCTTAGTAGATGGACAGCCAACAGCCACCTTAATTTATCAGATTAGCCTTTTATAACGAATATTTGTAAATACATTTATAAATATAGTTAGTTCTTGATATATAAGAAGCATTGAGATGACTGGAGACGTACTACATATCGAAAGTCATTTCGTAAATTGTGAAAGTCACGCCAGAACCAGATTTTCACAATACGCACTTTTTAATGGATTAAGATTTTACCTTGTCTCCAACTCTTACTAGTTATAGGGGAATTGGGGAAATTAAATCTCATAGTTCTTTATTTATTTATTCCGCAAGTCCCTGGAACAATGTCATAATTTAAACAACCATAAAATACCTCACCTCTGAAAGCGTCTCTAGATATTGATATTTTAATTGTAAAAACGTAATTTGTTTCAATTGTAAATAATGTAATTTAACATCCGGCCAGTAATACTAGCATCAAACAAGATAGCCAGCATTTCACAGCTCACAACATCAAGTCTGGATATGGCTCACATAATTACATCGCGCAAGTACACTGCATGCTGTTAGGAACATTTTGTAAAATTAGATGGACGCTTTCATTTCAAGCAATTTAAGGTCCACGTTACGCCGAAGAAATTTGAAAGCGCAGCAATCACCGGTCATTTTGGATTTGTGTCTGAAGAAAACTTGGTCAGGGAAATCGCAAGACTATCGTGACGCCATCGTTTTCAAAAAGCTCCGTTTTAAAAATGTTCTCTGTCCACACTAAAGCGCAAAGCCGGCGTTTTCAAATCACTCCTATTTGAAGAGCGTTTTCGAAAAGCTCCGTTTTCGTGACGGATTAGTGTGCACGGTAGGCCTAACCGTAGAAATGAAGCTGCATTTTCACATTTCTCCCGCGTAGTGTTGACGGGGCCTCAGGTAATTTTAAACCATACAACACTGATCAGCTTAAAGCACCGGTGAACGAAAGCCATAAAGCCAGCAGCCTGGTTTTAGAAAGAAAATGATAAAATAGATATTACAAACCCAAATGCGACACAAAACAGTAGAGGTTACATTACATCTTGTTTATATTATATATCTGACTCAACAGCCAATTGGCTATATGTTGTAAATATCAATATCGAGCATTTTATTATCTCGATATGACTGACAGGGTTTTACGTTGCGAGCATTTCCTTTCATTTTATTGGAAGACAGCCTTAACAAGAAAATAATGTTCTTATCTAAAAGAAAAGTACCTGTGCTGATTATAAGGAAAAACTATCGCTTGCGAAATTACCAACAGTTTGATCTATAATTTGTAAGTACAAGTCGTTTTATACTTTTGTTATATAAAAATTGTGTAAGGCGCAAATAACCCATTTATTAAACCAATCATAACACGTTACAACTTGCCTCATGTATTTTTATAATGGCTTGCTTGGGGAAGTATTTTTCATCCCATACAGTCAGTATAAATGTAAAAATTTTGGCTGTTTTGAAGTTATTGAAAGTAAAAATTGCTTTTGTTGATTTTCTCCAAATTGAAGCGGCTTTTGTGAAAACCAACTAGATCACGTTCAGTTATTTATCATATCAATGGGAAAAATATGAGGGAACATTATTCCCCTGTGGTCGACGGTTGCTTGATATTTATCCGGGCATTTGATCTTAAAAGGTTTCATCTAGCATGCAACTGAAAGTTATTACTATATGTAGTTCCTTGTGGTTCTCTTTATTATGCCTTACAAGGTGGTTCTCACAAGCAAATTTGTAAACGAGGCTTCAGTTTGTCCCAGTTCAACCGAAAGCCATTGAACGGCACGTTCTTGTGGCAAAAAACAACACAGCTGTCACATTGTTCAAGACACCTGGTTCCAGTGGTGGTAACATTTTATTCTGTAGATGAAAGCCTAGTGTGTCGCCATGCAAATGAAGCTTAAATAATTTTAATTAGGTACTATTGATAATGCAACTTACACGACGAGGTTTCAACGGCAAACAATGAAAAATCACGGTTACTTTCAAACCGACCTTGAAGATTTTATTCCGATGTTTGTCTTGCAGGACAATAGTGTGCATTTAAAGAAGATTTCCAGTCCATTCTGCGCAGTCTCAGCACCCTAATGTTTATAAGCATTATAAATCTCACTCGATGGAATGCGAATCGATGTTATTCGTTATGAACCACATACCTTATTTTGAGGCCTTCTCAAATTCTTTTTCCCACAGCTTCATTGAGTTTTACACCTGCGAAGTTGTTTCATCAAGTGATATAAGAAAGAAAGAAAGAAAGAAAGAAAGAAAGAAAGAAAGAAAGAAAGAAAGAAAGAAAGAAAGAAAGAAAGAAAGAAAGAAAGAAAGAAAGAAAGAAAGAACGAACGAACGAACGAAGTATAAAGTTTCGACCGCTTCGCATCCTTAATGGTGGTTGTTTTGAAACTTTGAATTTACTTCATGTAAGTAACTGCAAAATGTTTACATTTTCTGATTTCTTACATGGAAGAAAACAAAAAACGCAAACAAACTCTCGAGAGTGCGCAATACGGACTGGAAATCATCTTTAATAGTGCGCATAGTGTTTTTTCCCGACGTAATTACCCTTATTATAAGCAAACGTTGTCTGAAATCTGTACATTTAAAACGTTAGGCCTGAATCCATAGGAAACTGAGTCAAAGCCGGACCCATTAAATCAATCTCCCAAGTTTCATGTAATTTATCAATAGGAGGGACAATACCTAATCACATTTCCATTCACCAAGAAAAGGATGAAAATATAGCTAGGCAAAGCACAGAAGTGTAATTTCCTAAGAGAATTTATAATTGTAGAAGATATTGTAATTAGATTTGACCATTGCCACGTGAACATAATTCAACCAATGAGTGCGCGCGTCAGATTCAACTAAACTCCAGGCCCCGGTTGTTCGAAGACTGGATAACGCTATCCACCGGATAAATCGCTATTCAGTGGATAAACGTTAACAAAACAAACAACGCTATCCACCGGATAATGATTTATCCGGTGAAAAGCGTTATCCACCTTTCGAACAACCCGGGCCAGCTATATATAGCAATTGAAAATGATCCTGTCACTGATGGGTATAGATTTTCTGTTAACTTCTCCACACCTTTCTGTCTGGAGACGTTATGGTATTGTAAGGAGAGTTTTGATGATCACCAGAAGGATCGAAAATTTAGTAGTATCTGTCGTTGTGTACTATTTAGGTGACGGTTTTAAAACACGCGACCTTTTGTTTGCTTTAGGTCTTCCCCTATATATGTGATTAACAACAACAGACACCACAGTTTGGCATTGAAAATAAAAGCAATTTTACCATAATGATACCCTTTCAAGACAGATGTTTATTCAGAAAAATTTGCAACTAATTAGGCCCCGGTCACACTACGCCAGGGGAAACGGAAGTCCAACTCTGAAAACGCATCAAATGTGCCATCGTTTTCGAAAAGCTACGTTTTCGAAATTTTTTCTGTCCACCGGAAAGCGAAGAGCCGGTGTTTTCAAATTCGTCCGGTTCGAAGAGCGTTTTCAAAAAGCTCCGTTTCCGTGACGGATCAGTGTGGACGGCAGGCCTAACCTAGAAATATAGCACCCTTTTCAAATTTCTCCGGCGTTTGTGTGGACGTTGCCTAAGATCGCAAAGTTTACAATCTGTCGGGCTTGTCATATCTTCGTAAAAGTGATTACTTTACTTGCTATTGTTTTGAACGTCAGATTTTTTTTTCTAGTTTTCATCCTTCATGTTGAGGACACATGAACAGATCCGTGGAAAGTGTTGTGTATAAAAATAAAAACAAAAAATGAAAAACAAAATCGAAATTTTAATACATATCCTAAAAGCTGTAGCACTAATTTCTTCAGTTTTGAACCTCAACTAGCTACAAGTTGAAAATTTTTCTTTTTGCATGTCTTTGAGATGCAAAACGCCTGGTATTAGAATATTAAAAGAAATATGTGTTATTTTCGAGTAATGCGTCAAAAGTTGACGAGCGTTGATCACAGTTGATCGTAATTTAAAGATGAGACCAAAACACAACGAATCCTTCACAAAAACAATACGACTATCACTCTTAAATTTAAAGGGTTCCAATATTTATGATGATTTTCAAACATTATTTCCAAATCACAAACATTCAACCTTTGGCTCCCCAGTCAGCGAATATAAATTTCACTAATTACCGCTCAAGGAAAATGGTGCATTCCTTAATTTACTTCATCAGGCCAAAATATTAATTTGTTTTGGATTTATCTCAGTCTTCTCACGTTGCTACACACTTGATTTGCTAGGCTGTGTCATTCGGCAGAAACCCATTTATAGCAATTTTTAGTAATTTATAGTAATTTTTCCTTCCGTATCACTTATCTTCATTATAGACCGAACATCTTTGGTTGATATTGTTTAATTTTCCTGACGCTGGCACTCAGTCTCGTAGTCTGGAAAATTAATTGTTGTCAGTTGGACGTCTAGAAATTCATTATTTTGGGGGTATTCAAAAGACATTTCAAACATGCCCCCTTGGCAGTAAGTCTTCAAACAACAGTGGCACGACTTTGTTCAGATAAACCAACCCAGCCTCATAAAATAAGCTCAGGTTTGTACTTCTGGTGCATATCGCAACGTCGTTAAATGTTAATATACCTTATCGCACCTTTTTGTAGTCTTCGGTGGCATAAACAAGTTCGTATTTTCGGGCCAAAATACCCTCAAATGAGCCTGACAAGTCCTACCAAAAAAGGCTCGACTAGTTATTTACCGTACTCAAATTCGGCCATAAATCTGACCATATCACGTCAATGACTTGACTTTGCAGGATTTCAGGACAGTAGAATTGGTTCTGACTGGCAAACTGGATTGAAGATTTAGCTAGATTTGGGTTCGGTGAAGTAATATAGTCCACTCGAGACAGTGTTTCGTCAAATTTACGAACACAGAGTAGAAAGTTAAAAGTACGCCACGCACTGGATAATTTTTCACGTACTTCAAGGTTGCCAATGTTTTCTTCGCATATTGTTCCTTTGGAAATCCTTTTCGTTCGAAGAAACCTGCATATTTTTAATAACACGAGCGATCAGCACGTCGTTTTAAAGTTATAAATAAGCTGTGTGCTTGCTATGAGACAATCATCGTTAAAAATGACGTTGACGGCAAACGGCTAGCGTTCGTAATTAACGGCAAAAATTAATTGTAACACGAGCGATCAGCACGTCGTTTTAAAGTTATAAACAAGCTGTGTGCTTGCTATGAGACAATCATCGTTAAAAGTGACGTTGACGGCAAACGGCTAGCGTTCGTAATTAACGGCAAAAATTAATTGTACACTAAAGCAAGAACATTAACATTTCTTGTGAATATATCTTATTTGCGCTGGACTGATTTAAGTGTTTGAAGGAAAGAAAACAATTAACCGTTTGCCATCTGTTGGAAACTTAATTTTGCAATTCCTTTGTCACTGCTTAATTCCGTTTGAGAATCTAGACCAGCACTTGATGAGAGAAAGGAATCCATTCACAGAAAACAAAGATATGTCACAAAAAATTACGGCTACTTACAGGGTCAACACCCAACCCCTCCCCTAAAAAGACAACACAGAACTATCAACTGTTACCTTGATTCATTCCGACAATTTGAACTTTATCACAACATCTTTCAACTACATTGAGAATTCATTCATAGTCTGT